TATGAGATGAAGGAAGGGAAGGGGAAGGGAACTATCGGTAGAAAGCACCGAGCCATTACGACTATATAGCACTGGGGAGCGGTAAGGATAAGGATTTGGGATGGGACGGGGGAAAGGAATGGTGCCCAACCACTTAGACGGTCGGGGATTGAACACCAGAGATGAAGGAAAATTAGTCTGCGTAATAGAGCCCAGCGAGAGCAAGGGAGAGGAGAGAGCCCCAGCATAGAGTAAGAAGGAGGAGGAGAATCAACCAACGCACCATAGAGCAGGAAGAAGCAGGAGGGCTGGCAGGGAGACTGCCAGCTGCAGCCACTGCCACTCCCGGATGAGGTAAGCGACGCCGCCCCACGCCATGGTGCTGAGCGCCCACGGGAGCGACAACACGATGCCCACCACCGACCTGTGCTTCGGCTCCGTCACCTCCAGGGCTGTCACACCCCCAAAACACGCCAGCAGGAAGGTCATAGAGCAAGAAATGAGTTAAGAAAGTAAGGTAATTATCAAGTGCTAAGTACTAGGCTAATACGACTATATGGCACTAAATGAGATAGGCAAGTGAAGCGCATCTTAACCCTTGCTCTGCGAGAGACATTCCTGGCTGCTTGATAGAATTTTGGGAAATGTGTGGCTGTCATCGCTGGACGTTAGGCCACGTGGGAAACTGGGACGCATTTCATCAATGTAATGTACCACCTCTGACTGCTGGAAATCTCTGGGGATAGTGGGAATGTCATGGCAATTATTTCACCCGACAGTGGCCACAGTCTGTGATGAGAGAAGGTGGCCAGCCGCTGCGTCACCCACACCAGCACGAAGCTCCTCTACACACTATTTAAGGATCCTGGCAAATACCTGGTCTTGTCCTGGGGACTTGGGCTTCAATCTTTATATTTCTTTAATAATTTCCGCTCTGATGACCACTAAACTAGTCGACTTGTGCTCATGTCACCTCCACAGATTTGTTCAGCTGGAGACATAATATTAAAGTTTTCTCTACTAAAGACAGACATTTAGAATACCACTCATTTCTCTGTCATTGTTGGTTACTTGACTTCTCTAATTTTTCAATGGCCCATTCTTCTTCTTCCTAACCTATATCTGATAAATATGAAGACCACATTAGATGGGTTCTCCCTGACCTATTATATACACTTCATAGTTTCTTTGGCATTTTCTTATTTATTTTTAAACTATTCTTGCTAGATTGATAAACTGCTGTTCCACATAGACTTTCTCAGTTTTGAATTCGTTTATAAAAGCTTTCTTTTTAAGTAAGGTATTTTAGGTATTTTAGTGTTAACCATTTCGAGTTATTATTACTGATCTCATTAATTTATATGGTACGGTACATTCCTGCGCTGACAGATATGGTACGGTACATTCCTGCGCTGACAGATATGGTACGGTACATCCCTGTGCTGACAGATATGGTACGGTGCATCCCTGCGCTGACAGATATGGTACGGTGCATCCCTGCGCTGACAGATATGGTACGGTACATCCCTGCGCTGACAGATATGGTACGGTACATCCCTGCGCTGACAGATATGGTACGGTACATCCCTGCGCTGACAGATATGGTACGGTACATCCCTGTGCTGACAGATATGGTACGGTACATTCCTGCGCTGACAGATATGGTACGGTACATTCCTGCGCTGACAGATATGGTACGGTACATTCCTGCGCTGACAGATATGGTACGGTACATTCCTGCGCTGACAGATATGGTACGGTACATTCCTGCGCTGACAGATATGGTACGGTACATCCCTGCGCTGACAGATATGGTACGGTACATCCCTGTGCTGACAGATATGGTACGGTACATTCCTGCGCTGACAGATATGGTACGGTACATCCCTGTGCTGACAGATATGGTACGGTACATCCCTGCGCTGACAGATATGGTACGGTACATCCCTGTGCTGACAGATATGGTACGGTACATCCCTGCGCTGACAGATATGGTACGGTACATCCCTGTGCTGACAGATATGGTACGGTACATCCCTGTGCTGACAGATATGGTACGGTACATCCCTGCGCTGACAGATATGGTACGGTACATCCCTGTGCTGACAGATATGGTACGGTACATCCCTGCGCTGACAGATATGGTACGGTACATCCCTGTGCTGACAGATATGGTACGGTACATCCCTGCGCTGACAGATATGGTACGGTACATCCCTGTGCTGACAGATATGGTACGGTACATCCCTGCGCTGACAGATATGGTACGGTACATCCCTGCGCTGACAAATATGGTACGGTACATCCCTGCGCTGACAGATATGGTACGGTACATCCCTGCGCTGACAGATATGGTACGGTACATCCCTGCGCTGACAGATATGGTACGGTACATCCCTGCGCTGACAGATATGGTACGGTACATCCCTGCGCTGACAGATATGGTACGGTACATCCCTGTGCTGACAGATATGGTACGGTACATCCCTGCGCTGACAGATATGGTACGGTACATCCCTGTGCTGACAGATATGGTACGGTACATCCCTGCGCTGACAGATATGGTACGGTACATCCCTGTGCTGACAGATATGGTACGGTACATCCCTGCGCTGACAGATATGGTACGGTACATCCCTGTGCTGACAGATATGGTACGGTACATCCCTGCGCTGACAGATATGGTACGGTACATCCCTGTGCTGACAGATATGGTACTTTACATCCCTGCGCTGACAGATATGGTACGGTACATCCCTGCGCTGACAGATATGGTACGGTACATCCCTGTGCTGACAGATATGGTACGGTACATCCCTGTGCTGACAGATATGGTACGGTACATCCCTGCGCTGACAGATATGGTACGGTACATCCCTGTGCTGACAGATATGGTACGGTACATCCCTGAGCTGACAGATATGGTACGGTACATCCCTGTGCTGACAGATATGGTACGGTACATCCCTGAGCTGACAGATATGGTACGGTACATCCCTGCGCTGACAGATATGGTACGGTACATCCCTGTGCTGACAGATATGGTACGGTACATCCCTGCGCTGACAGATATGACGTGTTAATGCGTTATAATTTGCCTGAACAATCCTGTATATTCCAGTGTTAAGTTAGCCTTTGCCAGGATCACAACCCCTCAGCTCTCTGCAGTCTACCTGGCTCACAATCGGCTCCCTGCAGTCTACCTGGCTCACCCTCGGCTCCCTGCAGTCTACCTGGCTCACAATCGGCTCCCTGCAGTCTACCTGGCTCACCCTCGGCTCCCTGCAGTCTACCTGGCTCACCCTCGGCTCCCTGCAGTCTACCTGGCTCACCCTCGGCTCCCTGCAGTCTACCTGGCTCACCCTCGGCTCCCTGCAGTCTACCTGGCTCACCCTCGGCTCCCTGCAGTCTACCTGGCTCACCCTCGGCTCCCTGCAGTCTACCTGGCTCACCCTCGGCTCCCTGCAGTCTACCTGGCTCACCCTCGGCTCCCTACAGTCTACCTGGCTCACCCTCGGCTCCCTGCAGTCTACCTGGCTCACCCTCGGCACCTTACAGTCTACCTGACTCACCCTCGGCTCCCTACAGTCTACCTGGCTCACCTTCGGCTCCCTACAGTCTACCTGGCTCACCCTCGGCTCCCTACAGTCTACCTGGCTCACCCTCGGCTCCCTACAGTCTACCTGGCTCACCCTCGGCTCCCTGCAGTCTACCTGGCTCACCCTCGGCTCCCTACAGTCTACCTGGCTCACCCTCGGCTCCCTGTAGTCTACCTGGCTCACCCTCGGCTCCCTGCAGTCTACCTGGCTCACCCTCGGCTCCCTACAGTCTACCTGGCTCACCCTAGGCTCCCTACAGTCTACCTGGCTCACCCTCGGCTCCCTGCAGTCTACCTGGCTCACCCTCGGCTCCCTACAGTCTACCTGGCTCACCCTCGGCTCCCTGTAGTCTACCTGGCTCACCCTCGGCTCCCTGGCTCACCCTCGGCTCCCTACAGTCTACCTGGCTCACCCTCGGCTCCCTGCAGTCTACCTGGCTCACCCTCGGCTCCCTACAGTCTACCTGGCTCACCCTCGGCTCCCTGCAGTCTACCTGGCTCACCCTCGGCTCCCTACAGTCTACCTGGCTCACCCTAGGCTCCCTACAGTCTACCTGGCTCACCCTCGGCTCCCTGCAGTCTACCTGGCTCACCCTCGGCTCCCTACAGTCTACCTGGCTCACCCTCGGCTCCCTGCAGTCTACCTGGCTCACCCTCGGCTCCCTACAGTCTACCTGACTCACCCTCGGCTCCCTGCAGTCTACCTGGCTCACCCTCGGCTCCCTACAGTCTACCTGACTCACCCTCGGCTCCCTGTAGTCTACCTGGCTCACCCTCGGCTCCCTGCAGTCTACCTGGCTCACCCTCGGCTCCCTACAGTCTACCTGGCTCACCCTCGGCTCCCTGCAGTCTACCTGGCTCACCCTCGGCTCCTTACAGTCGACCCTCCCCAAGAAACTCTTCACTCTCTCAAATTCAGCTCTCTGGAAACGTTTTTTTATCCCGTTCAACTTTTCCATGTTATGTTACGTCTGATATTTTTTTGTGATTTCCGTTCCTAACTTTGTCTTAATGTTCATGTTTTGTGACTCCCTCGTGGCCTGTAATATTATTTTCCCGTGTTCGTTTATAATATGTTAATCAAGAAAGCAATCATCATCTAATTCTAAAAAAAAGTCTTTTGCTTCTGCATTCCCTGTATTATTTGTCCAATTTATTATACTGAAATTAATGTTACCTGGAATTTAAACATTGTTAGACCTAGATGTTTCGGCCCAGACGCTCCTCTCTTCTATATGACTCCTATAATTAGACTAGCATTATCTTAACTTAATTCTAAATACTTTCTGAGTGGGCTTCAGTTTGTATTTCCTGTTCGACACTACATTTACATTTTGTATTACTCCCCGTCCTTGAGGCCAAACCACTTGGGCTGGACGGTAGAGCGACAGTCTCGGTTCACGCAGGTCGGCGTTCAATCCCCCGACCGTCCAAGTGGTTGAGTACCATTCCTTCCCTCCGTCCCATCCCAAATCCTTAACTTAGCCCCCTTCCAAGTGCTATATAGTCGTAATGGCTTGGCGTTTTCTCCTGATAGTTCTCTTTCCTTCCCCTTCCTTGTATAATTTTTTTATCAATGTGAAATCATTTCTGTTCCTTAATTTTGGATTTTCTACATTCATCCATGTTTCTGTTAGTGCAATAATATCTATTGTTTACATGAATACAAGCACACACTTGTTACTTATTTATTTATTTATATACAAGAAGGTACATTGGGTTTGTGAGAATACATAGCACAGTATTTACAATCTTGTAAAGCCACTAGTACGCGCAGTGTTTCGGGCAGGTCCTTAAACTAACAGATAATTTTAAGTAGGTAAATTTTAGCAGAATTACTAAAATGATAACAGATACATTGCAAGAAAAAAATGAGATGAGAGAGATTAGTAAGTATATTAAAGCACATTGGTATATTAAAGCTCTGGTTGATTACATTGACAGCTTGATTGGTAATTTAAACAAGATTAATAGGCACCATACAGCAGATTGATAGCACATATAAGAAGACAGCAATGATCACAATGGTAAAGATGTTCGGATTGGGTACATAAAGATTGGGAGATTGGGTAGCACTAGATACAGTGCAATTTTAAAGCAACAAGGTAAAAAAACTATGAAGATGAAATTAGGTACTTTTTAGTTTTGTTTTTAGTTTTGTTTTTGAATGTTTTGATCTTGTTTTAAAATAAAGATGCAGTGGAAGAGTTAAGTAAAGCAACTGACTCAACCACAAGAAAAAAGCAACTGACTCAACCACAAGAACAACTGGTTGTAGTGGAGGTGGGTAACTGACCGAGGATGTAGCCGGACTGCATGATGGCCGGGTGCATCAGGCCCAGGATGAAGCGGACGCCCAGGATGCCGGAGAAGACAGGGATCCAACAGGCACCGATGGAGAGCGAGAAGAACACCAGCACTCCAACGGTTAGCATTGTCTTCCTCCCGAACCTGTGTGGGTCACCATTATGTTGCCTCACCTTCAGATTTTCTTAGTATCAGTTCAATATTATATTTTTGTCTTTATTCGTACAATTTAATATTTCGGCTACATTCCAGCTTACGTTACTAATCATTAATTTTTACATTGAAAGCATTTTTTATTTCATTGGAATCATTTTAAGTCATATTCCTTAAAGGAATACATTTAAACGTAGCATGGAACATATTTTAGGTCTGTGATCCGGTTAACTACATGGATGGAGACTGTAAGGTGTACCTGTCGGAGAGGCAGCCGTTGATGGGCGCGCCGATCAAGGTGCCGAACATATACATACTGGAGTAGGTAGCCCTCAGGTACTCAGACGAACACACCAGGTTGAACTGCAGGGAAGGACAAGACACTGATAACTGGGCGGCACTATCCCAAGCTATAAGGAACGAACACCCCGGGTCACTCAAGCTACCTCTGAGAGGCACAAAGGTTACGAACAATGTCTCTGGGGGATACCGAGGTCACTCAAGCTAAATGTGAGGGGCAGCTAAGTTAATCAAGCTAATTCTGGTGACCCATAGGTGCCATGAAGCTACATGCCTCATGTATTATTTGAAGTGCTTTCGAAGTTGCTTCAGCTACCCACACTATGATGCGAATGTAGGAATCGTTTGATATTTTATTTGTAATATTTTGTATGTTTAACTAAAAAAAGAGATGACGCCTCCATTTCATCTCCTCCCACATTCAACCCAACCACTTGGGCTGGACGGTAAAGCGACCGTCTCGCTTCAAGCAGGTCGGCGTTCAATCCCTGACTGTCCAAGTGGTTGGGCACTTGGACGGGCACTTCCCCTTCTCCCCCCCCCCCGTCCCATCCCAGATCCTTATCCTGACCCCTTCCAAGTGCTATATAGTCGTAATGGCTTATAGCTTCCCCTTGATAATCCCCTCCTCCCATATCCAGCTCGCACCTGCTTGACCAATAGCCATGTGCGACGTTCCACTTATGTCACCTCCAATCAGAGCAACACACAAGCCATGGTGCTCTTCCCCACTAGCTGGTGGTAGCCGCGAACTGGGACGAACTAGTCAGTAAACTGTGAGAAGTCTGCAGACTCGCAGAGAGCTGACAACTGCCTCAGGACCTGACAAGCCGAAGGTCATTGGGGTAAAATGTAGTCAGTTACACGAACAGTCCAATTAACATGGGCGTAAAGAGCCCCCCATGAACCGACCTGGGAGGTGAGGGTGGAGGTGAAGGTGGAGTTGTCGTAGAGCCAGGCGGTACAGGCCACCTGGGAGAACCCTCCGCCTCCGTCACTGGTGCTGTTCGCCAAGTAGTTGCAGTTGTCGCTGGGGAAGCCAGGGTCCACAACTTAAAAATGTACACTTAAACATTTTATGTTTTATATATTAATTATGTTAACATTTATAACTTTAATAATTATAATGTAAATGTTTATTTTTATAATAATTATATATATATATATATATATATATATATATATATATATATATATATATATATATATATATATATATATATATATATATATATATATATATATATATATATATATATACATATATATACATTATATATATATATACATTATATATATATATATATATATATATATATATATATATATATATATATATATATATATATATATATATATATATATATATATATGTCGTACCTAGTAGCCAGAACGCACTTCTCGCCCTACTATGCAAGGCCCGATTTGCCTAATAAGCCAAGTTTACCTGAATTAATATATTTTCTCTAATTTTTTTCTTATGAAATGATAAAGCTACCCATTTCATTACGTATGAGGTCAATTTTTTTTATTGGAGTTAAAATTAACGTAGATATATGACCGAACGTAACCAACCCTACCTAACCTAACCTAACCTATCTTTATAGGTTAGGTTAGGTTAGGTAGCCGAAAAAGTTAGGTTAGGTTAGGTTAGGTAGGTTAGGTAGCCGAAAAACAATTAATCCATGAAAACTTGGCTTATTAGGCAAATCGGGCCTTGCATAGTAGGCATAGAAGTGCGTTCTGGCTACTAGGTACGACATATATATATATATATATATATATATATATATATATATATATATATATATATATATATATATATATATATATATATATATATATGTCGTACCTAATAGCCAGAACGCACTTCTCTGCCTACTATGCAAGGCCCGATTTGCCTAATAAGCCAAGTTTTCATGAATTAATTGTTTTTCGACTACCTAACCTACCTAACCAAACCTAACCTAACTTTTTCGGCTACCTAACCTAACCTAACCTAAAAAGATAGGTTAGGTTAGGTTAGGTAGGGTTGGTTAGGTTTGGTCATATATCTACGTTAATTTTAACTCCAATAAAAAAATATTGACCTCATACATAATGAAATGGGTAGCTTTATCATCTCATAAGAAAAAAAATTGAGAAAATATAATAATTCAGGAAAACTTGGCTTATTAGGCAAATCGGGCCTTGCATAGTAGGCCGAGAAGTGCGTTCTGGCTACTAGGTACGACATATATATATATATATATATATATATATATATATATATATATATATATATATATATATATATATATATATATATATATATATATATATATATATATATATATATATATATGTTGTACCTAGCAGCCAGAACGTCGTATTCGGCCTACTATGCAAGGCCCGATTTGCCTAATAAGCCAAGTTTTCCTGAATTAATATATTTTCTCTAATTTTTTTCTTATGAAATGATAAAGCTACCCATTTCATTATGTATGAGGTCATTTTTTTTATTGGAGTTAAAATTAACGTAGATATATGACCGAACCTAACCAACCCTACCTAACCTAACCTAACCTATCTTTATAGGTTAGGTTAGGTTAGGTAGCCGAAAAAGTTAGGTTAGGTAGTCGAAAAAACAATTAATTCATGAAAACTTGGCTTATTAGGCAAATCGGGCCTTGCAGAGTAGGCTGAGAAGTGCGTTCTGGCTACTAGGTACGACATATATATATATATGTATATATATATATATATATATATATATATGTCGTACCTAGTAGCCAGAACTCACTTTTTGGCCTACTATTCAAGGCCCGATTTGCCTAATAAGCCAAGTTTTCCTGAATTAATATATTTTTTCTAATTTTTTTCTTATGAAATGATAAAGCTACCCATTTCATTATGTATGAGGTCACTTTTTTTTTATTGGAGTTAAAATTAACGTAGATATATGACCGAACCTAACCACCCTACCTAACCTAACCTAACCTATCTTTATAGGTTAGGTTTGGTTAGGTAGCCGAAAAAGTTAGGTTAGGTTAGGTTAGGTAGGTTAGGTAGTCGAAAAACAATTAATTCATGAAAACTTGGCTTATTAGGCAAATCGGGCCTTGCATAGTAGGCTGAGAAGTGAGTTCTGGCTACTAGGTACGACATATATATATATATATATATATATATATATATATATATATATATATATATATATATATATAATCAGGTTGGTAGGAGAAAAGCACACAGAAACTGTGTTGGAGGGGACCTACATTCCCTCTAATGCGTTATGTGTGGTTTCCTCCGAGGCTAAGGGTCCCCCTTCTTCCAGCCAGAGGTGGCACTTCCTTCATATATATATATATATATATATATATATATATATATATATATATATATATATATATATATATATATATATATATATATATATATATATATATATATATATATATATAACTGAAAACTCACACCCCAGAAGTGACTCGAACCCATACTGCCAGGAGCAACGCAACTGGTGTGTACACGACACCTTAATCCACTCAACCATCACGACCGGACATAAAGAGGTCATGAGGTTGTTTTTTTTTCGTCTATGCCTATCCATGGTTTGTGCATCCCTCTCTTGAGCACCTGCATCTCTATCGGGAACTCTATCTGCATTCGCTGAGTTCTCCTCGAGTGTCTGATTACCCCCCATGGACGTCTGGTTGGCCCTGGGCCTGTCCATACTTGTATCATATAATTTTGTTCAGGTCAATAACTTCTTTCATCAAAACCCTTTGTTCCTTCTGCATCTCCTTCATCGCCTTGTGACCTTCGATAAGTTCCTTTAGTATTGTCTCTATGCTCATTGATTAGGGGGGTGGAAATAGCCTAAGCTACTCTATCCCTTTGAGATTTCTTTCTTTCTTGTCTCAATAAACATACTTGTACTTGGACTTGAACTCATTGATTACTTCCTCAACTATCTCATTTAGAGATCCATCTTTTTTCACAATACTTGACTCTTTCCTAGTCCCAACCTGTTCCACTAATTCATCCTTATTCTTCTCATCTGGTACATCTTTATTTTTGTTGTTACTGCTATGTTTCCTCAGTTTATCATTGCAAGTGATGCAATAAATGTAAATGAGGCCTTTACTTTCAGTTTTCTCAATATAGTAAGCCTCACACAAGGCGCCCGAAATATTAAGACAGGTGCAGTGGAATATCAAATTGCAACCTGCACACTCGATACCACGTTTAGCCCTGGGACCTACAGCACAGTGACACACGCCACACTTATCATACCTCTCCATCATTTCTCTCGACTTAAGTTTTTATTTATTTACTTTAAGAATAATAGTGAGTTTATCCTGTTGATGTTGTTGTTGTCGTTTTAAGGGCGACGACGCTCGTGGGATCGGATGCGCCTCGGCGTACCCGTGAAGGGTTAATCAGGAAGCCAAATGATGAAATGAATGTCGCTTCAGCGGAAACTAACGTGCCTCGCCGCCAATAGACACACAGATGGGAAGATGATTGGGGAGCGCCGGGAGTCCCCTCAGCGTGACAAGCACCGGCCCCGCCCCACACAGAGAACAATGGGTATCAAAACCAAAAACTCGGCCCACAACTAAAACGCAAAAAATCATCCAGCGCCCCCCCCCCTTCCCCCGGCAGAGCAGAAGCCAGCCGCCCACCACGGCTGAGGGCACACCAGGAACCCACCAACCCCCGGCACCTCTCGGCCAAGCCGGCGCCGGACACCACCACCCCGCCGGGAGAACCAGCCAGGAAACGTTCAACATCTATTAACTATCCCGTGACCCAAGGCGATATGTGCGCCAGGCGTCGTAATAATCCGAACCGTTGAATAGGGATGCCAAACGGTGGTATCATAATCCAAAATCGTGAAGCAGAATGTAATCCCACGGCTCCCAGGCGGAGGAAGTGTCCAGACGTCCGCCCGTTGTCAAGGTTAAACTAGGAGTCCAAGTTCATTCTCTTGGTGTTAATTTAGGGGAGACGACGATCGTGGGATCGGATGCGCCCAAGTTCTTTTTTCTATGCGGTACTTGCAGTTTGCATGAAGGTTATCCCCCCCCCCCCCGATGACTGCACAAGTGACGTTGAAGGATGAGGCACTCACAGTGGCGCATCAGTGTTCATAATTTGGCAGAGATTGGAAGTTATCGATATCTTCTATTTGTGTGAGGATAATGAGAATAATAAACATATGAAGGGAAATACACTCAGAATGGCAAAGATGTGGAGTTGTGTGCGTCCAAGTTTATTCGGATTCCACCCTCGCGTGACTGTTTGTTTACACTATCACGCCAACGGGGGCTACTCACCCAAATTATGTTTCTTATGTATGTGTATATATATATATATATATATATATATATATATATATATATATATATATATATATATATATATATATATATAAAGTACTTATTAATTATACTTATTACATATTAAGTATATATATAAGTATGTATATAAGTAATTAATACTTAAGTAGCGACCATCGACCCCACACCGACCACGCTGGAATATCTTTCAGACCGTAGGCTCCTCTCGTCACTTATATATCACTTCCGACGATAATTAGATGCTCTTTCTCAGCTTGAACACTTTTTGTGTTTACCTGCCACTTAACACCAGTATCACGCTCTTATCACCCGAAAAATCGGACTTGAAAATTGGGACTCTAAAACCCAGCGCATCCACCCACCCGCCGTACCGTCTCTACCTGTATTGTACAGTATGATACAAAAAATAACTTGCGTGCCTTTGAAGACAGTCAATAGACCAACTCAGCTTCCTAGACATAAAGACCGAGGGTGGACCGGTACCATGAAGCTCAGTGACAGTCACTGGACCGCAGGACCTGCCATCTGGTCTGGCCAGTGGTTATCTATGTGCAAAAAGAGGATGTGAAGGGGGTTGTATATCCCTATATATATAATATATATATATATATATATATATATATATATATGTCGTACCTAGTAGCCAGAACGCACTTCTCAGCCTACTATGCAAGGCCCAATT